GACTGGACCTCACTACCAAGTGAGCTACAGAAACTTATACCAAAAAGGATTTTTAAATACAAACTGAAACAGGTTTTACTTCACCATTTTTAACCTTAGTTAGTAGTAGATTTTTAATCCTAGTCCTAGTTTTAAACCTTAGTTTTAGTATCACATTTTTAGCTTTTATTACTTCTGTATTTAGACATTTAATGTATACATGTATTTCAGACTTTTACTTTCTAGAGGACCCTCCTGAAAACCACCTGTAGATGATTGGAGGTCTCCTCTTAAAATATTAGTATATTATTATTTTTATTATTACCACATTTTGACATCTGTGATCAGTTACTGAACAGACGCATGGCAGTTTGGCTATGCAGATGCATGGCTATTTGTTTCGTGAAAACAATCAAAATTGGAGAATAAAACAACACAACCAGGCATAGTCAATCGATAAAAATCGATATCAGAAATTAAGCCATATTGATTGCCGATTGCTATCAATTGATATCTGCAACCAATAATGATAGAACTCACAAAATTTTTTTTATTGATTGCTTTTGATTGACAAAAATTGCTAACAATCAATAATTCCTGTTGTCAGGAATATCAATTGTTATTGATTGAAAAAAAACAACAATAACCATTTAACCATAAGTCGATATATCAAGAATACGAAACACTGAAAACTGTATCTTCTTTTACATGTATTGTTCCTGGTCAATATTTATGGCGGCAAAGTGATTACTGCTATGCCTCTACGATATATTTTCCTTCTGGCTTTTTTCAAGATCTATTCTTAAGTTTGTCTCCTAAAACAAATAATTGAGATCACTAGAACATTGACTCTGTTGTTTATTTTGCTTCATCTAAATGCCAATGCTATATTGAGACTGGAGGGTCTTACACTACTCTGGCCTGAGCTTCTACTGTGTTGTAAAGAGAGATGTTAAGCCCAAAATGTTTCTGTTAGTTGTTTTTGTTCAGATATGCAGACCATGAAGATAAAATGACTCCATAACACCATTACAGACAAATTTTGTCAATCATTTTGTCAATGTAACTTGTAAAAGGATAAAAATAATTTCCGATAACAATCGATTACAATCAATGAATCACTTGTTATTGATTATTATCAGCAATTGATAACAATCAAGCTCACAACTTTTTGCTTAATCAATTTTCATTGATTGCTATTGGCAATCAATATCACTCTTTGATTGATATCAATAATTATTGTTATCAAATGATATCAATCATCGGTTTATCAATTGACTTTGCCTGGTATATAAATAGGTTTTGTCACCTACTTTCTTGGAAAAAATCTGATCTTCTTTACAATTCCTTCTGCTAATGTACCCTAAGTCTGCTCTCAACACAAAAATAAACTCCCCGTTGATGGGATCTACTAGTCCATCATGGGTCCAGCACTTAATTTACACCAAGGTTTAATCCATTGTTATAGGTTTGGAATAAAGTGACAGATTCTAACACATACTGACCTAATTCTAAAGGAAGTGATTCAATCGTGTTGCCCTCAAGCAATAGATTTTTCAAATTTCTGTTGGAAAAAAAAAAGTCAATATTTGAAACAATTGCTGGTGAATGTAGAATACTCTGACACACAAATGAATAGGAGTTTCCACCTTTTGGTTGCTCCAACCAATTGGATGAAAACAAAATGACTAGGGAATGACTATAAAACCTGTGTTTTCCAATGATGGGAGGAATCTCTGATATGCGGTTGTTCCGTAAATCGAGCCATCTCAAGTTTGGTAAGCAATCGAACAGCTCTTCCGGCAATGAAGAAATAGCATTCCCCTCCAGATACAAAAACTGAAAACAGAAGAACAACAAACACGTTAAAATGGAGAGGAAATACTAAAGAAAGGCAAGTAACAAGCACTTGATTTACCTTATTCAAAAGACAGTTGGTAAAACGATCAGCCCATCGTTATTTGCGTGAAAGCCATCACAATGCGCAAAAATCGTCTTAGCAATAAAAGACAGTAAAATGTACCTCTAATTGTTGTAGACTAAGCACTTCTGGTGGAACTTGTGTTAATCTTTTCTTACTAAGGTCAATAGTCGTGCTTCCCAAGGCAGAAGCTGTATTTATTAGCTGTTCCACCGCCTCGCCAACTCCTTCTCCTACCGCCATCTTGTTTTGACTCTCAGCGT